CTTCCTTCCTAGTGAGAAGGCAGCATCGTTGCAGATGCTGGTTGTCCGAGAGAAGCACTTTAGTACTGTCACATCCCTCTGCAGTCAACAGTACAACTTCGCCCTCAGACCTTGAGTAGTTGCTTTTAGTCTTACCGTTCTCCAATCGACCCGCCTGGCATGTTAGAACTAACAGGAACATATGTTCCAACCAATATAGCCCGGTTGGGAATAAATTGAAGCAACTTTTAAAGAGCCAACAGAAAAAAAATTTGTATTTTTTTAAATCCTATGTTGATGAGTAAATTGAATAAAGTTGATCGAAATATTGTATTGTGCCTCCCCACGGAAATCTTTAGTAAAAGGCGAAATATTTATGCACAAATGAGACACCAGAGTTATAAGGCAACCAGTCACCCACCGAAGACAATGGATGAAGTCGTGCAGTATGATGGATTGATTGAAGTTAAACGCTGATTACCGACTAAGTGGTCTGAATTTTAGGTGTTCACACACAAAACCGCAAGTCCTAGGTTTGATTCCCGTGTGCGGAAGTCGTTTATACTCAGTGCTTATGAGTCCCATACTATATTCATGTTTTGCAGTGTTATTATCTAGCTTCGATCAATTCACGGTCTTGCACAACGTCGTACACTGTCTTCAGTGAGCATTACTTCAAGCTGGAACAGGGTTAAACTCCATTAGTCACGACTTCGCATTCGGAGAAGATTCCTCACGGTGCTAGTCACTAGGAAGTCAGTCACTTTCTAGTAAACTTTCATTTTCTTCCATTCTTTTTCTGTTTAGCTTCTAAAAACATAGCATCCTCATCAGTGGGATCTTCTAAACAATGCGTACTTCTAGTGGTCGTATCGTTCGACCGCCACCATCTCGTGGTTCACAAGATCTATGCTTATCATCATTTTCAGAAGATTATCATTCAAAATATAATAATAATTCAATTGAACGTAAACATTCTCAACAACGGAAAACTAAATCAACTATATATCGTTCAAAAAATAATATACATTCTGTAAATAAATTCTATTCTAAGCATAGAAAACGAACTCATCGATCAAAAACCATGATAAGAAAATTATCGAATTCCACAGAAGATTTATCACAACATACAACATCATCATCATCATCACTTCGACGTAGTGCACGTAAACGTAAATTGATTTCTAGTTTTAGTCATTTTTATGGATCATCTGAAGGAAATGATGAATCCGATTGATGATGATGACCACAATGATATTGAAGCTTGTTAATCAATCACTCAGTGTGTTCATTGATACACACATCACATCACATCACATGAAAATTGGAAACGAGAACATGATTTTGTTTTTCCTGTAAATTGTGTCTCTATTTTCTCCTTTCTTTTCTCGCCCTCTCTCTCTCTCTCTCTCACTGTTCCTCACATTAAAATCAGTTTTGGGCAGCATGTGTAGATATATTTTCCACTCCACTCCACTCCCCTTCCTTTCCCTTCCACTTGCTCAGTCGGATTGAAAACTAACTGATAATGTTCAACCTGTCCAATGTAATTTAAAAATAACCCATTTATTATAATAATAATAATATTTGTGTTTTTAAGAACTGTGATTGTTAATATATATACATACAACATTCTGTCGGATCACTTCTCTTTTATTCTTGACAAAAAATTTTTTTAATATAAATACACTTTTCTAGTCAAATAATTGTTGGCGTTGTTTATTTTTATTTATTTAATTGAATGAAACTGACCGAAAGAATTTCACAATCTGTCTCGAACTACATACTGATGATGATTAGAAGGCTCGATTGGCTTTTGCCAACTTGCATCACTTAGTGTCGTAGGTGAGATATCCTTTTGCTAAACCAAAGGACGAGTGTATTGCATAGCAGTTCGTTCTGTTCTACTACTATATGGATGCGAAACATTGCCAGTGACAGTTGTGGATATTCTTAGGTTATAAGTATTCGATTATCGATGTCTTCAAAGCATTGCTCGAATGTTGTTGTTAGGCAACAAGCATCAGGTACGGATGGCAGGTCAATAGATGAAGCAGTGGAACTTCATCAGTTGAGGTGGTTGGGACATGTATTACGAGTACCTAACTACCGACTTTATTGGTTAGCGATGTTTTGCAGGAACTGCTAGGTTCGTCACTAGGTACGCTTGCAGCTATTATCAGTTCACCACACCCGATAAACGTGAACGAAACAATGAACCAGGTAAGCTACCTTGATCCGAAAAAGGCAAAACATAAGTCTTGATAAGCGTAAAAAGTATATTCTACGAACAGCCAGATAGCACAATTCAATCAAGTATATAAATCTCGTTTATTTATACATCGCTGAATCGTTCACGGGACCGTCATATAAATCGAACCTAAAATACACAGCCGCCACTCACAGGAAAAGATGGTCCTGCTCAGAAATGCAACCTCCAGGTTAAACGATCAGCGCATCATAGCAAACCCGAAAACAAAGATAAGGCATTGATGACGCCCGTTTTGGCGATCTAACGTCCACAACAGGAACACACCTACTTTTAAAGTTGTAACTTTATTTCACGTGATTTAATTTTTTCGTTTTCCGATCAGTTTACTCTACGTCAACGGTATATATAAACTAATCTTTGATAACCACACATTGTTAATCATTATTATTTTGGTTATTTTTGCTGTAGTTTCTGGCTTCATAAGTCTAAACAGATATTGTCCATAGAATAACAAAATTCTCCTTACAAATAACTCCACAAACATGTTACGTTTATCTAAAAAACACTTGATTTCACCTGTCCCATGTAGCACCTGCAAAAGATGCAAATCCGCTACTGAAGTCGATAAAATTAAACGTTGTAAGAACAGTGCCCCATCCGTATATTATTCTGATCTACCCACTGGCTTAATAGAATCTTACCGTGAACTTGAAAACGACATCTCTTTACCTTTTATCCCGCTCGTTGATATAAATACAACTAACCTCCATCCGAGTGACTTGACACCGTCCACTACTTCTTGTGTTTCATCCAAAAAAGGCACGTGCGAGCACCTGTTAGAAAATGTGGCTGGTCTAAAACACTTGACGAGCCCGCAAGCGGATCAAGTTCATAGCAATCCGAAAAATGTCTCTAGGCCTTTTTGCCATAGGAAATCCAGTACTGTTGATCTGGACTGTTCTCTCTCTGATATGTTCATTATTCCGGATGACTTTACACAGACTGAGTAACCGCAAAACACTTGTAGCAAGTCTGTGCATTATCCTATTCACCTTAACAGCTGCGAACTGAACTCCAATAGATTCGCCAGTGTTAGTTCTAAGGACACTTTCAGTGCACTCGATATCAACCAAACCATTCAGGATTTACTACCTTACAAATACCTGGTCAGTGTTCCAGAAAATCCTGATCCCGAAATCATCAAAAAAAACCGAAGTGGTAATTGACCATATATCCTCTGAAGTGTTAAAAAAACTTCAGTGCATGCAGAACGCCATTGTTTATAACGTGCCTGACAGTGCTAGTCTAAATTCTGTTAAAAACACTCTCCCTAAAGAGTGTGGATTGTCCCACTCTTGGTGTGTAGCACGCAGGCTACGTAAAATTCAGACTAAATTTTCCTGTCGCATTCTTGTTAAATTTAGTACTGTCATCGAAGCCAATCACTTTATTAATAGTCAGTCACTACTTAGACACATTCCATTGTTTAAGAAGATTAGAATTATCCGGGATATAACTACGATACAACGCCGTATTACCAATGGCCTTCCAACTATGCAGGCCGGTTCGTGCACTAGTAACAGCTACAATCACGAATGTCATATTAACCCTACAATACCTACCTCCAACCCTCCTAAAACGGAGAACAGATCCAAAGACACTACTAGTCCAAAGGCCTGTCCCCTGAATAAATGTGCTGCAACTTGTCCCGTGATCGTAAACCCATCTACATGTAAACCACAAGTCAATCGCACTTCTGTATATACAAACATTGTGCCAAAGACAACAGGACAGACCTAGTGGTTCGAAATTCGTTGTATCGTAGTTATATCCCGGATAATTCTAATCTTCTTAAACAATGGAATGTGTCTAAGTAGTGACTGACTATTAATAAAGTGATTGGCTTCGATGACAGTACTAAATTTAACAAGAATGCGACAGGAAAATTTAGTCTGAATTTTACGTAGCCTGCGTGCTACACACCAAGAGTGGGACAATCCACACTCTTTAGGGAGAGTGTTTTTAACAGAATTTAGACTAGCACTGTCAGGCACGTTATAAACAATGGCGTTCTGCATGCACTGAAGTTTTTTTAACACTTCAGAGGATATATGGTCAATTACCACTTCGGTTTTTTTTGATGATTTCGGGATCAGGATTTTCTGGAACACTGACCAGGTATTTGTAAGGTAGTAAATCCTGAATGGTTTGGTTGATATCGAGTGCACTGAAAGTGTCCTTAGAACTAACACTGGCGAATCTATTGGAGTTCAGTTCGCAGCTGTTAAGGTGAATAGGATAATGCACAGACTTGCTACAAGTGTTTTGCGGTTACTCAGTCTGTGTAAAGTCATCCGGAATAATGAACATATCAGAGAGAGAACAGTCCAGATCAACAGTACTGGATTTCCTATGGCAAAAAGGCCTAGAGACATTTTTCGGATTGCTATGAACTTGATCCGCTTGCGGGCTCGTCAAGTGTTTTAGACCAGCCACATTTTCTAACAGGTGCTCGCACGTGCCTTTTTTGGATGAAACACAAGAAGTAGTGGACGGTGTCAAGTCACTCGGATGGAGGTTAGTTGTATTTATATCAACGAGCGGGATACAAGGTAAAGAGATGTCGTTTTCAAGTTCACGGTAAGATTCTATTAAGCCAGTGGGTAGATCAGAATAATATACGGATGGGGCACTGTTCTTACAACGTTTAATTTTATCGACTTCAGTAGCGGATTTGCATCTTTTGCAGGTGCTACATGGGACAGGTGAAATCAAGTGTTTTTTAGATAAACGTAACATGTTTGTGGAGTTATTTGTAAGGAGAATTTTGTTATTCTATGGACAATATCTGTTTAGACTTATGAAGCCAGAAACTACAGCAAAAATAACCAAAATAATAATGATTACCAATGTGTGGTTATCAAAGATTAGTTTATATATACCGTTGACGTAGAGTAAACTGATCGGAAAACGAAAAAACTAAATCACGTGAAATAAAGTTACAACTTTCAAAGTACGTGTGTTCCTGTTGTGGACGTTAGATCGCCAAAACTGGCTTCATAAATGCCTTATCTTTGATTTCGGGTTTGCTATGATGCGCTGATCGTTTAACCTTGAGGTTTCATTTCTAAGCAGGACCATCTTTTCCTGTGAGTGGCCGCTGTGTATTTTAGGTTCGATTTATATGACTGTCCCGAGAACGTTTCAGTGATGTATAAATAAACGAGATTTATATACTTGATTGAATTGTGCTATCTGGCTGTTCGTAGAATATACTTTTTACGCTTATCAAGACTTATGTTTTGCCTTTTTCGGATCAAGGTAGCTTACCTGGTTCATTGTTTCGTTCACGTTTATCGGGTGTGGTGAACTGATAATAGCTGCAAGCGTACCTAGTGACGAACCTAGCAGTTCCTGCAAAACATCGCTAACCAATAAAGTCGGTAGTTAGGTACTCGTAATACATGTCCCAACCACCTCAACTGATGAAGTTCCACTGCTTCATCTATTGACCTGCCATCCGTACCTGATGCTTGTTGCCTAACAACAACATTCGAGCAATGCTTTGAAGACATCGATAATCGAATACTTATAACCTAAGAATATCCACAACTGTCACTGGCAATGTTTCGCATCCATATAGTAGTAGAACAGAACGAACTGCTATGCAATACACTCGTCCTTTGGTTTAGCAAAAGGATATCTCACCTACGACACTAAGTGATGCAAGTTGGCAAAAGCCAATCGAGCCTTCTAATCATCATCAGTATGTAGTTCGAGACAGATTGTGAAATTCTTTCGGTCAGTTTCATTCAATTAAATAAATAAAAATAAACAACGCCAACAATTATTTGACTAGAAAAGTGTATTTATATTAAAAAAATTTTTTGTCAAGAATAAAAGAGAAGTGATCCGACAGAATGTTGTATGTATATATATTAACAATCACAGTTCTTAAAAACACAAATATTATTATTATTATTATAATAAATGGGTTATTTTTAAATTACATTGGACAGGTTGAACATTATCAGTTAGTTTTCAATCCGACTGAGCAAGTGGAAGGGAAAGGAAGGGGAGTGGAGTGGAGTGGAAAATATATCTACACATGCTGCCCAAAACTGATTTTAATGTGAGGAACAGTGAGAGAGAGAGAGAGAGAGGGCGAGAAAAGAAAGGAGAAAATAGAGACACAATTTACAGGAAAAACAAAATCATGTTCTCGTTTCCAATTTTCATGTGATGTGATGTGATGTGTGTATCAATGAACACACTGAGTGATTGATTAACAAGCTTCAATATCATTGTGGTCATCATCATCAATCGGATTCATCATTTCCTTCAGATGATCCATAAAAATGACTAAAACTAGAAATCAATTTACGTTTACGTGCACTACGTCGAAGTGATGATGATGATGATGTTGTATGTTGTGATAAATCTTCTGTGGAATTCGATAATTTTCTTATCATGGTTTTTGATCGATGAGTTCGTTTTCTATGCTTAGAATAGAATTTATTTACAGAATGTATATTATTTTTTGAACGATATATAGTTGATTTAGTTTTCCGTTGTTGAGAATGTTTACGTTCAATTGAATTATTATTATATTTTGAATGATAATCTTCTGAAAATGATGATAAGCATAGATCTTGTGAACCACGAGATGGTGGCGGTCGAACGATACGACCACTAGAAGTACGCATTGTTTTAGAAGATCCCACTGATGAGGATGCTATGTTTTTAGAAGCTAAACAGAAAAAGAATGGAAGAAAATGAAAGTTTACTAGAAAGTGACTGACTTCCTAGTGACTAGCACCGTGAGGAATCTTCTCCGAATGCGAAGTCGTGACTAATGGAGTTTAACCCTGTTCCAGCTTGAAGTAATGCTCACTGAAGACAGTGTACGACGTTGTGCAAGACCGTGAATTGATCGAAGCTAGATAATAACACTGCAAAACATGAATATAGTATGGGACTCATAAGCACTGAGTATAAACGACTTCCGCACACGGGAATCAAACCTAGGACTTGCGGTTTTGTGTGTGAACACCTAAAATTCAGACCACTTAGTCGGTAATCAGCGTTTAACTTCAATCAATCCATCATACTGCACGACTTCATCCATTGTCTTCGGTGGGTGACTGGTTGCCTTATAACTCTGGTGTCTCATTTGTGCATAAATATTTCGCCTTTTACTAAAGATTTCCGTGGGGAGGCACAATACAATATTTCGATCAACTTTATTCAATTTACTCATCAACATAGGATTTAAAAAAATACAAATTTTTTTTCTGTTGGCTCTTTAAAAGTTGCTTCAATTTATTCCCAACCGGGCTATATTGGTTGGAACATATGTTCCTGTTAGTTCTAACATGCCAGGCGGGTCGATTGGAGAACGGTAAGACTAAAAGCAACTACTCAAGGTCTGAGGGCGAAGTTGTACTGTTGACTGCAGAGGGATGTGACAGTACTAAAGTGCTTCTCTCGGACAACCAGCATCTGCAACGATGCTGCCTTCTCACAAGGAAGGAAGGGTTAGAAAATGTCGGCCCTAAAAATATCACACCTAACCCTACCTCACGGATTTCCGTCTCCTTGGGTAAGGGTGCCCACTAAGGGCCTTTAAGAACGGGGCTAATACTCAAAAAACCTTTAACAAAAAGGCCTTGCGTGACCGGCCTCAAGCAATTGTCCCTTGGACTCTGCGGTCACGAACCCAAGACCAACGCTAATATACCTTCTTTTTCAGGTTCCTCTAGAAACAACCTTCCACGGTGTGGGCAACCGGGAAGTGACAACCGCCCTCATACCCGCAACAGCACACGAGACCGAATTGGTAAAAATCAAATCCTTCCAACACCCCCTAATACCTCTCTTATCTCTACGACTAACTCTTCTCACATTCCTTTATCACACTGCACAGCTAATGCAAAAGATGCGAGCTCACGAAACGTTATTTCTAGTCTCCTTAAACCCCGTTCTATACTAAATGTTGGGGCTTTTAATGTACGGACGTTGTGTCAAATAGGGCAACAGGCTTCCTTAGCTAGGACTTTAGAATATCGTGCCATCGATGTATGCTGCGTCTCGGAAACGCGCATACATGATCCGAGTAGCATCATTCACTTGACCTCACCATGTCAAGATAAAGAAGCAGCTCGATTTACTCTTCGTGTATCCGGTAGCCCTGATGCTGCTTCCAGGGGTCTTGCTGGCGTAGGCATAGCATTGAGTCGTAGGGCAGAACAATCTCTCCTTGACTGGATCCAAGTAGATAGTCGATTGTGTGCTGTCCGACTAAACGGGACAGTAAGGACTCGGAAAGACAGGGACACTCGTCGTTGCCTCTTCGTCGTATCTGCCCATGCCCCCACTGACTGCAGTTCAGACCAGGTTAAAGATGAGTTTTACAGAAAGCTTTCGGACCTCCTCCAAAAAGCTAGGCGCTCTGAAGTAGTAATGAAGGCTGGTGACTTTAATGCTCAAGTAGGTAGACTAAGTGAGCAGGAAAGACACCTAGGTGGATGTTATGGTGTCGCGGCTCAGAGAACAGACAGTGGTGACCGTCTGTTGCAACTATGCACAGACAACCGCCTATTCTTAGCAAACACTAACTTTAGGCATAAGAAAAAGCATCTGGCGACCTCCAAAGTCTTCTCAACGTTGGACCCAACTAGATCACATTGTCATCAGCCATCGATGTATGGGTTCGATAGAAGACTGTCGCTCGTTGTGGGGCACATGTTTAGATTCAGATCATGTCCTAGTGCGAGAGCGTATTTGTTTGAAGCTTACTGGGCGTAGGAAAGACACCGTAAGGAAGCCTCTTAGGGTTTTAATTAATGATAATGAGGCGAAGAATATATTTCAGGAACAACTAGAAAGACAGGCGACCATTTAAGCGATGCCCATCCGGAGGCAGGCTGGAGTGATATCAAAAAGGCTCTGGAAACAGCAGTGATATCTGCTAGTAAGGTTGACCATAAGTCTAGAATGAAGCCATGGATCTCTGTAGCATCCACCGATCTGATGGATGCCCGAAAACTCATCCCACCTGGCTCTGAACATGATGAAGAACGAAGTCAACTTAGGCGCAGGCTGATAAAAAGCCTACGCAACGATTACGAACAGTGGTGGGTGGCGGAAGCGAAAGCGACGGAAAAGGCAGCGGCGATGGGCAAAAGTAGACAACTTTTCCGACTTATCAAGGAAACTGGTATTTGGAATCCTAGTGTAAGTGAGAGTATCTCAAAAATTGACGGGACAATTATTTATTCTCAATCCAGGAGACTGGATCGATGGGCAGAACACCTTAGGGATCAGTTCAACTGGCCACGAGACACTCTTCGGTTACCCACGATCTCCAGTCATCCGGAATGGCAAATCGACCTAAGTCCCCCTAGTCTTAATGACGTTGAGAAAGCGTTAGGAAATCTGAAACGAGGACGAGCTGCAGGTCCTGATAGACTGACCCCTGAGATATTTAAGGATGGTGGTCCAGTTTTAGCAGCTAGGTTGACCGAGATCTTAGGTAGGATCTGGGAACTGGACGTAATCCCATCCAACTGGTCTCAATCACTGATTGTCCCAATCTATAAGAAAGGACGTCTTCTTGTGACAATCACAGGGGAATAAGTCTAACTAATATAGTATCTAAAATATTGGCCTCAGTAATACTTCGACGCTTAACGAAAGCTCTCGAAGAGCAGACTCGAGAAAACCAGGCTGGTTTCAGACCTGGACGTGGCTCTATCGACCACATCTTCACACTACCACAGGTCCTGGGACACAGACACACATTTAGTCAAATACTTCAATGTACTTTCTTATTGGTTGTCGTGACTATCAATGTCACTTCCTATTGGTCGTCTTAACTGTCAATGCCACAGACTTCGATGCTGTTTCCTATTCGACCAAACTGTATAAATACGCATTATCTGTAACATTTTATGATCAAGACCAGGACCAGGGCTCGGTCCCGGATCCCTAGTCTGGGATCCTGATTCTCTTCTGGATTCGGACCTCGTACTTCTACTTCATATCATGTCTTCTTATTTTCGCTCAATATGGGTTTGGGATAATCGTATTTGAGTAGCATGTCGTGTCACCGGATCCTCGATCCTCGCTTTCGTTTCCCGACTCGGTAAAAACTTGTAATAGTTCAAGTATATCAAGTTGACGTGTTTACGTGTAGGCGTAACAGAAACTCAACAATCTTCACACAACTTTATCATTGTTCTATTCATTTAAACAAATCAATGAATCATCCATCATCTGACAACGAAAAAATATAATAAAAACAACACTAATCAACTCATCAAAACACTCATATATATATATAACACAAACCTGGCGGTGACAACGACACTGATGATCGATCATTCCCAACAGAATTCTTTTCCTCATTCATTGTATGATTTCCAGATCGTGTTGAATATGCCTGGCGTTTCAATCGACAACTATTATCATCGTTATCACCATTATCATCATCATCATCATCACCATGAGTTCGCATTGATTTGTCCCGATGATCAGACATTTTTACAGCACAAGATGTCAATACTGACAAAGTATAATGATGATTATCGTTATTATTATTATTATTACTGGAACATTCTAAACATTGTAACAAACACGGTATCATTATAGTATGCAACCAATTTTCTAACCATAATGTATCATCATATACTTGTGTATCTGGATCAGTATTATATAATTTTGCATTCGATATAATTAAATTTAAATCGATCAATAAATCATTGGGTTGATAGTCGCGTAGTACACTACTACGACTACGTATATGATAGGGAGGTGGTGGTGGTGGTGGTGTTGGTGTTACTGTTGTTACTGTTGAAGATGACGATGACGATGGTGATGTTGTTGATGAGGATGATGCGCAATGTACATGTTGTTGTAATTGAATATTGAATAGTTTCTTTTGTATTGTTGCTAAATCCATTGGCCGTTCAATAATACTATGATAATCTGGATAATCAGTTGGATTAATTGGTACACGAAAATAAAAACTTCTACGATGTTTACATAATTCTTCAATTAGATTTATTGAAGTTGTAATCCATGAACTAGGAGTTGAAGCACCGGCAGCAGTAGCAGGAGTAGTAGGAGCATTGGAATTATTTCTAGTTGAATATTTGAATCTTATCGACGATGATGATGACGATGCTGCTGCTGTTGATGCTGATGATGATAATCGACTATTACGACTATTCTGATTGTTACCTTTAATTTGATAACGTGTTCTATAATACCTAGTGGATTGATTCACATTTTCATTATTAGTATTGTGATTATTATTATTAAGGCATACAACATTATACGGATGTTTAGATAACGATGATCGGATTAAACGTGATGATTTACGTCGATGTAGTTGTTGAGTTTTTCTTTGACGGGATGATGATGATGACGATGAACAGTAATATCGATTGATAAGTTTTTTATGTTTTCTATTCATATACTGTGGTGGTGCTTTGGTAGTTCGAGTACGTTTATTAACAAGTGTTTGTTTATGATTAAGATGATGTTGATTAGATGATATGGTCGTATTGATTGGATGATTATTTTCTAAATGTCGAGATATTTCATTGGTTGTAAGAAGTTTATAACGTCGTATAATATCAGCCTATTTTGAAAGAAATAACAGTTATGACAGTGAATAA